TATTTTACTAATTAATTAAATTAATTTGGTTCTAAAAATGTTAAAATCTGATACAATTTACATGGCGAACACCCTTATATATGGGCATGGTATATTTATATGGTATTATATATTAATCAAGTTTTTCTTTGGAATGCAGGTATTAATTGATTTATGGAAACAAATTACATTAAGGACAAACTTGTCGCAAGAATCCCATAAAAACTTGAAAGAAGTTGAATTAATCGAGAAGATTAATAACTTCTTGAAAGATAAGGAGTGTTTAATTATCTTCGATGAAATCACCGAAGGTATTCTTGACAGTGATACTCTGCAAAAAATTCTCCCGGAATTATCCAAGGGAAGTCGTGTCATCTTCACTGCTAGAGAAGATGATGAATTTCCAATCAAATTGACAGAGGAACAGAAAAAAAATTTTGTGAAAATTAGCGAATTGAATGGGGGTGATTGCTATGACTCGTTCAAAGAGAAGGTCCTGGTTCACAAAATAGAGGAAAAGGATCTGGTTCACAAAATAGAGGAACCTTCTCCAGAAGATCGAAGGGCGATTGTGGAAAAGACTGGTGGAATTCCCCTGGCGGTTGTATTGTTTGCAGGAGTAGTGTCTTACACACCGTCAGCAAGATGGTCGGATGTGATCAAGCTGGAGTATGATTACGAATGGCAGTTCAATTACATGGGACACATGACATTAAGCATTAACAAAAAACTCAGAAACATACTGATTATGAGCTATGATCTGCTTCCAAACCCTCTGAAACCCCTGTTTCTTTATCTTTGTCTATTTCCAAAATCATTCGAGATACCTTTCCGACGGCTTATGCTTTTATGGATGGCAGAGGGGCTGTTACCAGCTGGAAAAGTTGAGCCTGAGGAGCAAGCTAGAGCTTACTTCATGGAGTTAGTTTACCGGAACATGATTGAAGTGGCAAAATGGAGTTTGGACGGTAGCCCCAAAACATGTCAGATGCCGAGTATATTGTACGATGTTTTCTCTCAGAAATCTTTGCATTTAGGAATTTTCTACGCCCATAAACATTCAAACGGTGAAGGAGATTACAGACAGCTGTTAAAGGTCAGGCGGTTGGCCGAGTACCAGGACGTCAAGAATTATCCTTCCACGGATCTCAATACCCCACATGTTCGTTCCTATGTATGTTTTGACATCCGGCATCACGACGTACCTAATCAAGAAACAGGTATAAGTTTCTTCTCTTTTTCTGGAATTACTTAAGGTTTTAAAATTAAGGAATACCATCTCGACTAAGCTATTGTTGAATGAATATAGGTAAATATCTTAACAAAATGGTCGTCAGAAGAGGTTTTGGACTTCTTAGGGTGCTTGATTTGGAGGGGGTTTTTAAGCCACTTTTACCAGAGACGATAGGGAAGATGCTGCATTTGAAGTACTTTGGATTGAGATGGACGTTTCTAGATTCACTGCCGTTATCTCTAGGCAACCTGCCAAATTTGGAGGCTCTAGACTTTAAGCATACCTATATACATACCTTGCCGCCTTCCATTTGGAAGGCAGAGAAGCTTCGTCATCTGTATATGAACAACATTTATCTTGATAAGCCTATACCGGAGCTCTCCGTGCAGTCTTTAATCCAGTTTAAGACATTATCAGGGCTGATTTTGGGCGATGAAAGTCCCTTGAAGGATGGTTTGAACCAGTTAAAAGGTCTTTGGAAATTAAGTCTAACATACTATTCAATAATCAATGTTGAAACAGAGATGTTCCGTTGGATTTCCAGTCTCTCGCATCTTGAATCACTCAAGTTAAGATCAATTGATGAATCTGGTGAACCTTCGAAACTTAATTTGGATAAAGTGAGAATGCCTGTGAGCCTCACCAAGCTGTATTTGTTCGGTTCATTGCAAGCAACTGACATCAAATTTCCACGGCGAATCAAAGTTCTAACTCTGTCACTCTCAGGATTAAAGGAAGACCCAATGCCAATCTTAGGGCAGCTGGAAGAGCTAAAAGTCCTAAAACTGTTTGCAAAGTCCTATTTGGGAAGTCAAATGACCTGTGGTCCTGAAAGTTTCCCGAAGCTACGTGTCCTGAAATTTTGGATGCTAAAAGATTTAAAAACGTGGAGTGTGGCAGAAAATGCCATGCCTTGCCTGGAAGAACTAGAAATCAGGTGCTGTGACAACTTGGAGAATATTGTTGACCAGCTAAAGAGAGTTAAATCTCTAAAAGAATTGATCTTGACAAACATGCCGACGCCTTTTGTTTTGGAGGCTAAAAATAGTATCAAATGTACATGTGCTGTCCTAGTAAATCAATGGACGTTTCCTTTTACTGAGGTGAGTTCTATTTTTTGTTGTCAACAGTTGTAATAACCCGAAAATTTTTCAAGATTCTTGGTCAATGAAATTAAATGGGAAAAAAATTAATTAGGGGCTGCTGCTAATAAAAAATACTATAGTTATAATGTCACTTGACGTTGTAAATTACTCATAATATTATATGTATTTATTCGTTTAATGTCATGTTATATTTCATTTAATGTCACATAATCCTTAGTAGCATTGTAATTATAACATTGTTGGGTGTTAAATTTCAATTAACGAATTTATGATTTTAAATTAACTAAAATTAAATCAGGAGTTAACACATGTGATTAATGACAATTATTACCCTTTAATTCAGACTATTAACTTTAGTTTGCTTCCCAACTTTAGTTCCTCCCTAATATCTAGATTTGTCTTGCAGGAGCAGCAACAGCCTTCTCCTAGCCCAACCACACAACTTTCCTCCTCTTGAGGAATCGTGAATAGAGGTAAGCACATTTGATTCACGTAGATTTTGTGTATTTTCACGAATTAAAACACAAGAAACTCATATCTTATAAAAAATCCCTGGCCACCCCTCCCTTCTTTTGGTCTAATTTTCTCCTCTTTCGATCTTTTGCTTTCTTCTTCTCCCTCGCCACCACTATCTCTCACCCCCTTGCGGTTAAGGTGGATGGTTAAAAATAAAAGTTCTCTCCTCTCTTGTGAGGTTTTTCTCTCTTACAGAGGTTTCTCCCTTGACTTTCTCAATAGTTTTTATTGAGATTTGCTATTTGTCAAAGGAGAATGACAACTGAAACACGATATTGGTTAAACTCAAATTTGTTGTCATCCTTGCTTCGGCTATTCAAAACATGGTTGGGGATGGGGTCCCTAACTAAAATTTTCTACCTCAACCCATTTATCTTATGTCTAGATGAATTATATTGAAATGTTGCTTAATTGTTAAATCTTAATCTCCTGTCTAGCTACAATATTCATGTAGGCATTAGATTATTTAATTTTGCAATTTCATGCATTTTATGAGTATAATACCTCTGGCATATTACTCCACTTGGATTGGTCTTAAAACCCTTATGGTTTTCATATATCAATGAAATTATATTTCTCATAAAAAACACTTGAAACTCAATTTTCAAATTCCAAATCTTTTGTTGTAAATTCAATCTTAAAATCTCTAGATCTATTGTTCTTTTTGCTATCAAGGATTCCTCTTGGATTTTGAAGCTGAACCTACACAAGCCCAAAACAAAATAAGCAATTTTAATTTCTCCTACTAACTATTGGCAATTGTTGATCCAAGTCATCATCTTTGATTTTCTTACAGGTTTTTGTATAAATATGCTTGACCATGACTTTTTAATGTTTTATGAGGTGAGACTTGTTTTTTGAGTGATTATATATCCTTTCATTTTTTTTTTTTTTTGAATCATCTTATTGAAACTGAGTCTCATTGATGACGGCACATAATAAAGAAGCCAGAAGTAGAGGCATTCCAAAAGATAGAACCTTCAAGGCCTAAAAAGGAAGATGGGAAAGCAACTGCGTGGAATCTAGTTGCCTGGAGGATCCAGTATTTGTCTATGTTAGAAACAAAAAAGAAGAAATAGTTGAAGAAATGTTTATTGCTTTATTGAAAAATACTGTATATATAATGACTTATATATAGATATTTACAAAAAAAATATTTTAAGGGAAAAAATGTTTACAATAAATATAAATAGTGTGAATATGATTTAAATAGTTGATTGTCAATTATTGTATTCATATCTTAACATCCCCACTCAAATTGAAAGTTGTTGTGATGAAACCAACTTGAATTTAGAAACAAGAGTACGAAAGCATCCAAGAAATTGAGCCTTGGTGAAAAGATTTGTTGGCTGATCAACAAAGCCAATAAAAACCAAATGAACAATTCCTTGTGCAACATGATGGCTAACAAAATGACAGTCAACCTCAATGTGTTTAATGCATTCATGAAAAACATCATTATGAGCAATTTACATGGCACTATGATTATCACAATAAAATTCAACAACAGACAATTGAGAAACACCCATATCTTCTACCAACTAACATAAATTAACCTTAACGTGGTGTCTCCTAGTGCTCGATATTTGGCCTCTGTGTTAGAATGGGATGGAATTACTTGCTTCTTACTATGCCAAGAGATTAAGAAATCACTAAAAAAAAAGACAATATCCAATGGTGAATTTACAATCATTAGTCTCTAGCCCAATTAGTGTCAAAGTAAACACGAAGTTCAAGAGATGAATGAGAAGAAAAGTGAAGTCTACGAAAAATGATACCTTTAATATAGCAAATAATGCGAAATACTATTACATAGTGAGTGGAGCGAGGCATAACCATAAATTGGCTAACAACATGAACTGCATAAGTTATATTTGATCATGTGGTAATAAGATAAATTAAACTTTCAACCACCTGTATGTAGTGAGTAAGATCAACTAATGGAGAACTATCCATATGTGCAAGTCTAACATTTGGCTCAAAAGGAGTAGATACATTCTTATTGTCAATGACTTTGGCTTTAGATATAAAATCAAAAGCATATACCATCATAAAAAATAGGTAACCTCAAGTCCCAAGAAATAGCTCAAAACACTAAGAACTTTCATCTCAAACTTATAACTAAAAAATTGCTTAAGATTATGAATATCTAAAATATCATCCTTGTAATTATCATATCATCAACATAAAGAAGTAGTAGAATGATAGCGTGATTAGTCTAGCGTATGAATAGTGCAGTATCATGAGAATTAGAAGTAAAGCCAAATTCACGAATGGTGGTACTAAACTTGACAAACCAAGCTCGAGATGCTTGCTTTAAACCATACAAAGCTCGGGCAAACTTTATTTGGAGGATACTCAAGTCCAAGAGGTGGTTTCATGTAAACTTCCTTTGCAAGATCACCATTTAGAAAAGCATTTTTCACATCCATTTAAAACAATTTCCATTTTTTTGCGGTAATAATAGCAATGAAACTACGAACTAAAATAAGATGAGCAACAAATGCAAAAGTTTCCTCATAATTAATTCCATATTCCTAAATAAACTCTTTAGCGATAAAACAAACCTTATAATGCTCCACAAAACCATTAAATCGAGTTTTGATCTTGTACACCCCTTTACAACCTACTAGAGGCTTTCCAACAAAAAGATCAACTAAATCCCATGAATAAGTTTTCTTAAGAACTTGTAATTTATCTTGCATAGCTTGTTGCCAAAAAGGATTAGAAAAGGTCTCTTGATAGGATTGAGGCTCATGTAAAGAGGCAATAGCAAGAAAATAATGATAATTACAAAGATAGCTAAGAGGATTTCTTACCTAAGTAAAACGACTTGAAGGTGGATTAAGTATCGAATTTTTAGGCTCAATATTGTTGATGACCACTTAAGATTTCAAAATTTTAAAAAGGAAAGAAAAACAATGAAAAATTAAGTCTGAAATATAAAAAAAGAGTCACCACTCGTTTAAATTATAAGATGAGATAAGTCACCTAAAAATGGGTCTGCGTAAAAATCAAGATTCGAGGGTGCAGTTAAGAATGAGGAAGGATATACACACACCTCACAATTTTTCGTATAAACACGGTTGCATACTTTAACATTGAGGTTTTAATTTAACTCATTTATTATATTTTTATTTAGGTCTTAATAAGCTAGCTTGAAAAATGGACGGACCAAATTGCAACACTTTAAACTTTTGGACTAAAATGGACAAAATCAAGAATATGCAGGCACAATGACCACAAATAAAAGTTAAATGGACTGATTTGAAAAGAATTAAAACTTTTGGATTGAATTGCTTGATCATGAAAGTTTTTGGGTGAAATTGAAATAAAAGGGAGATAATTTTGACTTTTGACCAAGATTAAAGAAAATTGAGGATTGAAATTAATTAATTATGATAATTAATTTAATTAAATAATTAATTTGATAATAATTAAAATTAATTAATCACATTTATTAATCTTTAATCGAGATAATTAAATAAATCTAATTATCTAAAATTAAAACCAGTAAGAATAACTAATTTACTCTAATTAAAATGAATTAATTTCATTAATCATGAATTAAACTAATTATTCTAATCAATTAATCATTATATATATATTTATTTCTTTTTACTTTTTACTTTTTTTTTGCTTTTTTTAGTTTAGTTTTTTTGTTTTTAGTTTCATTGGATTGGGTCGGGTCATTCTAGCCCAAAAACACAAAACCATTCACTAAAATATGCAACAACAAATCAAACCTTAGACAGAAACGGAATCAGGACAAAAACAAAGGGAAATTTAGAGTTCATTCCAATTACATTTCATTTTCCGCGAGAAAACACATCCATGTAAATGTAGATCTATAAAGATTCAACCAGTAAATGACAGGAAAACAAACTGAATAGTCTTTGATTTTCATTCATTTTCCAGCAAACATATACAAGCTTAAACATCCAGACTAAAAAAAGTAAAGCACAGGGAAAATCAACAGAAAATGACAAAAGCAAGCATGGCAGATTTTTTAGAAGAAGATGGATCTGGATTAGATGGGACTGATCCCACCCACGGGACGAAGCTCCCACCACCTCCTTCACTACCTCCCCTAAAAATCCTCTGTTTTGAAAATTACCTAACAGAATAAAACCAGAAAATGTGAACTCTCCGGTGACTCCTCTGAAAGCTCGACGATCCTCCTCTTTCAGCCGCCGTTGCCCACAACAAAAACCACTTTCTCTCCAAAACCAGATCTGCAGAATACCAGGAGAAAGAAAGCAGAGGTACAGCGGAAGGAAAGAGGTAAGGCCAAGGGTTGGGAAAGAGACTGAGAGAAGACACTTTGTTTTTTTGGCTGCCGAACTCTTCCCTTTCCCCAAAACCAAATCTGCTTGGTCTTTTCTCTTTTTTCGTTTTTTTTTTTTTTGGTTGCTTGGTGATTGGTGAGGGTGAGGGTGACGGTAATGAGAGTGATGATCGGTAAGAGGATGGTAGCCAGATGGGGACGATAATGATGATGGTGATGATGAACGGTGAATGGAGACGGTGGCTGTGTGGTGCATGAAGAAGCTGGTGATGATGGTGGCTGAAATTTGGGAGGTTCCGAGGAGAAGGCTCTGGAAGCCTCGGCAAAGATGCTGGTAATGGAGGCTGTGACGATGAAATCGGCAAGAAGATGGTGAAGATTGGAGTTCAAGGGGGCTTGGGAGAGGCTAACCGGTTGCTGAATCCTTCTTCTCCAAAATTCCAGATCTGCTTGTGTGGCTAGGGTTCAGGAGAAGGATCGAGAGAGGAGGGAAATCTCTTTTTTTATTTTTGCTTTGGTCTGCCGCCCCCAACTTCTTTGTCCGTTCCTTCCCCTTTTCAAGAGAAAGGAAAACTGGGGTTTTTTTCATTGTTGGGTTTGGATTTTAACGGGCTAGTTTATGAAATTGGGTTGAAGCTTGAATTAAATTGTTGGTGGGCTCAATATTGGGGTTTGGGTTAGATTTGAGGGTTTGTATTAGTAGATTTCATCCTCAATATTTTTTAATTTCTTCAATTAAGTCCTTGTCTTGTTCTTTTTCTTGAATTTCTTCGCAAAAATTTTCTTTTTGCATGTAGCAGCTAAAACAAAAATAAAGATATATTAGTTAAAGAAAAGAGAAAATTTCATATTTTTATGTTTTATGATTTTTGATTAATTTTGTGATATATATATATATATATATTTTTTGATAAAAATTTGAGTGACAAATATCAATAAGGTTAGATCCAACAGGTGATATAGAAGAGGTACAAGAAGAAGACTCAACATCGTCTAATGCATTCCAATAGGCAAAGCATATTTTATAAAACCAAGTGAAGCATGTGGGGAGGCATCATGGAGTTCATTAAATGTATCTACATCAGAATCACTAGGAAATAGCTTAATAGAAGGGTTAGCAAAAAGTAAAGGTTGATTAAAAGATGATACTTGGAAGTTTGATAGCGAGGAAAACATAATGTGTTCCTAAAAGACAACATGACGTGAGACTTGAAGTTTTTGTGATATAGGATCCCAACAACAATATCCTTTATGTGTAATCCCATAACCCAAAAAACAACATAATTGAGCTTTAGGTTCTAACTTGTTATGTTCATGAGGTGGAAGAAGAACAAAACAAACAAAACCAAAAACCTTAAAAAGATCATAGGCAAGAGGAATATGATGCAAACATTCGTATGGAGACTTATTATTGATGACTGATGATGGAATTCGATTAATGAGATAAACAGTTGTAAGAGTAGCTTTACCCCAAAATTGCACTAGACAAGAAAATGAAATGAGTAAAGCACGAACATAATCAAAGATGTGTTTGTGTTTACGTTTAGCTCATCCATTTTGTTCAACGTACCTTGTTCTTTGAGAAAGAATTGAAGTTTAGTACTAAGATATTCAATGGCATTGTCAGTTCTCAAAATTTTGATAATTTTAGAGGATTGAGTTTTGGTAGCAAAATCAATATGAAATTGTGGTAAATCAGAGCAATTTTTCATAAGATATATCCAATAAAACAATTATAATCATCAATAAATAACACAAAGTACTTGAACCCCTCATGGTAGGTGTCGAAGATGGACCCCAAATATTAGAATGCACGAGATCAAAAGAAGCAGCAAAAAGAAAATGACTACTAGAAATAGATAAAGCTAGTTGTTTTTCAGATTGACAAGAAACATAATGCAAGGATTCATTCAGAACAAATCCTAATAAACCATGAGAGATAAGAGGACAGAGTTTACCGACTAAGGTGTGTCTGAGCCATGAGTGCCACAAATGAAGAGCAGAAATGTTAGTAGCAGCACATACTTGGAAGATTTGTTGATATTGAATTTGCAAAGACTCCAATTCAATAGCACAAAGCAGGGTTTAAATGAATAGATCATTTGGAAATGATAGTGTATCCATTTTATGATGAGGAATATGCAGATAGTTGAGCCCAAACATACGCCCCACCTTACAACTAGTTCCAAGAAGTTATCCTGTTTGTGGGTCTTACGCATGACAACCATGAGCAAAAAATGTTACTTCAAGACTAAAATCACATAATTGACCAACAGATAAAAGATTATAACTAAGTTTTGAAACTAAGAGAACATTTGGTAAATTCAATAACTTTGTAGAAATATTGCCAATATGATTAACTTTCATAGGGGAACCATCATCAAAATAAATAATAGGAAAGAAATAATAGGAAAGGAATTATTTAGTGCCATTGAAGTGAAATGAGCAATAGTTGAAGACATATGATTACAACAACCAGAATCAAAATACCAAGGTATGGTACTTGGAGTAGCAAATAAGGCAATAGGAGCATTAAAAAGGTTTAATTAATATCACCTATTTTGGGAATTCAAGGTTGACATTAGGTTAGTCTATCACTTATTTGGCAACCATTGCAGTAGTAAGATGAGTCACAGTTCTTTCAAAACTCGCCATAGAATCAATAGAACTCATAATACTAAAAGAAATAATCTCTAAAAATATGAAGAAATAGTTGCCAAAATCAAAATAACAACTCAACAAAATACCTTAAAAGTGGCATGAGAATTAAGAATAAACAATTCAATCTGCAGGAAAAGAGAACCTAATGACAGAGTTTTAGATTTGGAATAGATTTGACAATCCAACCCCAAATAGCAATGATAGAAGAGAACCAAGAGCTTATAGCTCTGATACCATGTTAGAAACAGAAAAGAAGGAGAAATATTTCAAGAAAGGTTTATTGCTTTTTTGAATAATACTATATGTATAATGACCTATATATAGGTGTTTACAAAGTGAATATTCTAAGATATAAAATATTTACAATAAATGTGAATAGTATGAATATGATTTGAATAGTTGATTGTCAATTGTATGTTCACATCTTAACAATCTAGCATGGTTCTTTCACTAGTTAACTATCATCTTGTTGCTTGTTGAGGATGCTTATGATAGTCTATGAATTTGTAGTCTATTAATACGTACTAGATTCATCCATTATTATATATATCAAAGGCCTTTTTGAGCTAACCACTTATCAAAGTTTTTTTTCCCTACTGTGCTTGTATGCAAATAGAATGTTGTAGTAGAGTGCAATTTTTCTCTCTACTTGCATTTTATTGTACGATAGTCATTCTCGTTCTCTGCCATATTAGATCAGCCTTTTGTTGTATTGCATTTTTAAGAAACCTACCTAGTGGATTTCACCTACCTGTTTTAAACTTGCTTTTATGTTCCAATTACAAAATTTCCAGTTTTCACTTGATTTTAGTATGATCTCTTGTTAGCCATTCTTTACTATAGCCTAAAAATTGGCAGCGAGTTAAGTGATATGGATTTCTCCATTGTATTAGTTGCGCTTTTCACTAACAACTTAGAAGAATTTGATAGCTTAAGAAGAAGTTAAAAAAATAATAATAATCCTTTCAAATGATGAGATGAATAGGTTGTTTGCAAGTGGAGAAGAATTTGATATGTTGAGAAGGGTATGCATGTCAAGTGAGAAGCTAATTGCATTAGGTCGGAACATTTCTTTCGAATGACATTAGTGAGGAATGAGATTGCTATAGCTTTGTGTGGATAAAATACGTGTGTTAATGGGAACCATTCTACATTCTACATAGTTATATATATCATTTTTAATGTAGATTTGTGGTAAAAAGATAATTTATTAAAAAAATTATAATTTTTTTAAGGGAACTATTTTGAATAATGATTTTTAAATTTATAAAAATTAAGGTACTAAATATTATATATGAATATTTTGTCTTAAAATGTAAATCATTTCCATTTGCCAATCCTGTTTTCAAAATTTTTCATTTTCTAATGAACATGAAAATGAAAAATATTTTTAGGCAAAAAGGGAAAATGAAAGATCAAAAAAAAA